ATAGTGCTTTTCCTAGTGAATTTGAGAATATAATTATGAGTATTATATAGTTAACGTCATGGTGGCCCGGAGGTTTAAGACGCCCACTTCTCATGCATGAGGGTGCGGGTTCGAAACCTACCAACGGCAAGTACCAATGTGACTTTTTCCGAGTTATGTGTACTTTCTAAGATTATTTAGACACCACTGACAAACGGTGAAGGAAAAACATCGTGAGGAAACATGGACTTATAATTTCTAATTATAAGTTTGAAATCGCCAACCCGCATTGAGCAAGCGTGGTGATTAATGCTCTAACCTTCTCCGTGTGAGAAGAGGCTTTGCTCAGCAGTGGGCATTTATAGGCTGTTGATGATGATGATGATTATATAGTTTAACCCTAATTTTTGTCTCTTCCGATTGTTACTGAACTTGTCTTTTATGCTACGAGAAAAAAATTGGTCAAAGAACACTACTGATTATATCTAGGGACATGATCATATGCCTATGATATTATTTCCTTATCCATAAAACCATATAAGTTGTACATCCAAATGGGTCTAAATTAAGGACAATCGCAGTTTACCTACATGGGCATTCAAGGCAACTTGCGAAATAAGTAGGCCCATATTGGAAAAATGGTGGGCGGGCAGAAAATTTCTTTTCCTGCAACTTAAGTCAAATAAATTAAAAAGTAAATTATAAATATCAAAATATATTATGTTATCCATAATAATTATTTTCCACCTCATTGAGAAAATTCGGGTAACAGGAGGGAAATCATATTATTGGTACTTAGATTCTTTCAGTTATGTACATAATTATTTTGTATTACAAAAGTTTTTACTCTAGTTTGTACATAAAATTTCTTATTTTGTAGGTACATAAGCAGAAATTTATATAAAAAATATTTTTCAATCGCCTATATCGTAAGTAGGTAAGAATCCATTTATTATCTGACTTAGATATTGACGAATAAATAAAAAGAAGATTCCCAGAAAGTTGGATTATTTTTGAACTAGCCAATCATGCAACGACTGTCATATATAATCAATGGATTAAACCTTATTAATAGTTTCCATATCATGCATTCCATAATCGAAATACGTAAGTAGGTAGGTAATGTTAAAATATCTATATAGTAAAATATTTTGCATGTATATATAGGTATAGGGACTACCTACCTATGTTCCTTCAAAATCTTAACAACATAGTTGATTGCAATCAATTATAGGTAGTACTGAACTTATTTTATTATAGATCTATTAGTTTTATATTCATAAGTGTAGAAAAGCTGCGCGTTTGCCAATGATACGCGTAGCGTAAGTACTTACATATTTCAAACATTTTATACAAACTGCTAAACACGCAGTAATTTATGGAACATTGAAACCTAATAAAGACATTTAACAGCATTGAAGTAATAAAATTCCGTAAATAGTTCTACGAGACCTCAATGCAAATCGTAGAGTAGGTGCCGATACCCGATATCTTAAGAATCAGAATGTCACACATTCTGATTCTTAAGACATTCCGGACCTTATTTTGGTATCTTTATTAACAATACGTACAATATGATACACATGTCTTTGTAAAGTATCAATAGAATAATATTATGTAGGCTTTACAAATGTTTCTTGTTTGTTTGTTTATTTCTATTGACTTGACCGGACTTTTTTGCTAAACGTGTCGATATCAATTTGGTAGCGTTATATCAAGTTTCGTAATGTTTATTTTTCTGTTATTTCTATATAATATAGTTTCCGTCATTTGATTAAAAGCAATATCTAGTCGATGACTAATTTGATGGATGCATAGATGATGGTCTAAATAAAAAAATGCAGCTATACCTTATAAAGAATTAATTTTTAAACAGACCACAATGTGCCATATTATCTCGTTAGCTATAAAAATAAGTAGGTAGCTACGTATTGTAATTACCCAATTTTTGTTGCTAAATGTGGTTGCGGTAAGTCTGACGTGGATTTAGGCAGTAAAACAACAATTTCGATAGTAGATCATTATCGTGTAAGATAATCGGTATGATATCGGTTTCGATCGAAGATTAAATTTATTTATTGGTTTAATATACATATCTGTAGCACCTATTGCTTCAATTAAACAATTGTCTCGACCTTGACGTCACTATAAAAAATCCCCAGTTTATTGGCTTTACGAATGATTTGGCCTGTTAAAATATATAACGTCAATCTAATTTACTGAAATTACATTTATTCAAAAATTCAAAATTCATTTATTTACATTTGATGGTGTACTACTGAATTAACTATAATTCGTGTTAAGTGTGGGAGAGCTTCGGCAGAAATGGAACGGCTCGACCGGAGTGATACCACGGCCTCACAGAAAGCCAACGTGAAACAACGCTTGCGTTGTTTCACGTTGAGTTTTTTTCTCAGTTTCGTCGTGTGAGTGAGATTACCGAAAGCCCGATTTCCCCCCCTCCCTCCCTATCCCCCAATCTCTCCGATCCCTGAATCCCCAACAATCCTCACATTCCCAATCCCCAAAAGGTCCGTAAGGCCTCTGGTGTTCCAGATGTCCATGGCGACGCCGATTGCTTACCATCAGGTGATCCGTCTGCTATTTCCCGGCTCATCCAATAATAAACTTTTGTTTATTGCTCGACGATTGTCTATGACAAGTTCGTAAAATAATGAAAAGTTGCTTACATACTACGGTTAGTTTTGTACTCAAACTATCAACCTTATGATTTTATACTAAAGCTATCGTCGTCACAACAATACGTTCACACAACAATAACAATACGATTGATTTACCTTAGTAAGAGGTAACAAAGTTGAACGAATCGGTGAATAAGTAGTATAGTAACGGAACTATTACCTGAATAGAATCCACTTAATTAGTTCTCGTGGAGGAAATGCGCCATCTACGAGCCCATTGTTCGTTTGCTCCCGTGATTTTTGTCCGGGACACTCCAAAGTAGGGCTTGCATCAACCATTTAAATATTTTAGGGATAATTTCTTTAAATTGTCTTTTTAGGTATATTTTGTATATACGGTTTGTTTTGTTAAACCCAGAGCTAACCCTCCTATCACTCTCTAAGCCTCCTAAGAGAAAAACCCTAATTATAAAATAAAGATTAAAAATAAAGGTTTGTATATTTTGCATATAAAAGGTTACAAAAGTTTGGAAAATGAATGATATTGGCTCTTTCACATAGATGCTAATGATGATATCTAACTTTGACCGTATATATCATGTATAACTAACTATAGGTATACTCTTACATTTTTCTTAATTTAACTTCGTGACACATACAAACTGCACAAAAACCGAAGTATTAATATACTTTTTCAAAACGGAGTAAGTATGTACATACTTTCATATATATATGCGTTTTATACATAGGTACAACCAAGTCTCTTTAAAATTAAATTATCTTACTTCGGTAATTTACTTGCATTACAATAATAAATTATATATTTTTAGTAAGTAATCAGATAACATTACCTGAAAAGATTTTAATGTGTAATCTAGAGAAATTTTCAATATCACCAAAAATTTATCTGTTCGGGATAGATATCGTAGATTATGTGTATATTTATCACAATGCAAAAAACTCGTTGCACTTACAAAAATTATTCGGAACTTTTCCTAAATTATATATTTTCATGGTCATACGTTAACCGGTCTAGGTCCACGTAGACAAAAGACACATTTAGGTTCATCCGGGCGCTCCCGGATAAGTGAAGCAAAAAACCCGGGAATTCTGCACGTTATTACGTATTGTTCTGTTTTATGAGCTAATTATTGTAGTTCTTTGAATTCGCTTTACATCTTGCATAGTGATATGTTGATAACTTGTTCATGCTTTTGTTCCGTTTATCTAAAATGCGGAATGTGTAATTTTGATTATATCTTTCCTTTAGGTATATTACGCACACTTGATCAGCCTTTTGATTGCATTTATTTCCCTTACTTATATCTAATTCTGAAAACATAATCGTCAAGTTAAGTATGACGATGCACTTTTATTTTTGGAAAATTTATTACATATACCTATATTACATTAGAACATTTATTTTTGGGTACGATTTTCAATCACGGTAAAGTCCCTATTTACAAGCTATAGTTACAACAGAATTGACTGAAGGATACCTATTAACAATCAATATATTTTTAAATTAAAAGAATATGATGTGATGAAAAAGATGGCGGTGGTCTGAAGTGATATGATAAAATCTATAAGAAGAATAGTTGGGTGATATTTCTTCTATATACAATCTGAAAACGGGATAAGATGGAGGGAAATAACACAGAGCAATGAAAGCTTTTCAGGGGCACGACCTTTAGAAATGAAGCAAGCGATCGAGAAGAGAAGAGAGATACAATCCGAACGACGACGCCGTGATAGGCGTCTATTAATAACCTAGTACCTACCTGTAGTTATATTTTTAAGATCGATAGTTATTCTGAAATCTCAGTTTGACATTATAATGTTGTGACATCCTAAATCTGCTATTTTAATATCAATCAGGATTAAACATATCATATTAAAGATATTCAGTAATAAAAATTAACATAATCATTTTATCCGCATATTTATATACATAAGTAGATATTAAATTATGCATTTCATATTTTTCGGATATGTTATGAATCATTAATCCATTTGCAAGCTGGAATTCTGATTTTATGAAAGAACGATCATCATTAGGATTATATTATCAAATACTAAGAATGTCATTAAAGAATACAAAGTCCTTTAAGAATAAATATTTTTTATCCTCTCTATGTTGTACCGTATACTCGTATCTGTCGACACTGTATGGAAAATATAAAGTCCATAGCCTATGAATTAGGAAGGATTTATCTATTTATGGATCACAAGTTGAAAAAAGATGGTGGTAACCTTTTATTTTCTAACGTTTCATTTTCAAATATAGGTAAGCTTTACTTGACATATTATAGTTTTCATTTTGTGGGTATTAAGGAATTAAATTATGTTTTATTAGGTGTATATATATATAATAAGATAAATAACGTCGTAATTACATTTTTTTGTAAATTAAAGTTATAATGTCATTATGTTCGAAAAGTCTATTTACACCCGGAGAAACATCGACCGAAATGTTTTTTGGAGATTTGCCGCGAGACGGCGCTAGTGTCGTTGTTGAATTGAACGAAATGGCGCCATTTCTGATTCTACAACGACTGAACGGCCATTTGCGCGGGGCGCCCCGCTGAGTGTGTTTGTGTTTGGGAGCTACAACGTCGTAAAGGTAATTATGACATTGAATATGATATTTTTTGGAGAAACAACGACATAATTACGTAAATATGTCATTGTAGTTCCAAACACAATATTTGTTGATTGTTTAATGACAAATAGAAGTAAATACGTCGTTTTTCCTCCAGATTAATTATTAAACTGTAGAAAAGATGTCATAATTGTGTAATTATGTCGTTAACGCTCCAAGTATTATTGTATATTTAATTGTACTATTGTAATACCCGTAGAAATATTGATGTAACGGCGTTTATAGCCAGGTGCACTCACTGACCGGCAAAAGATAAGTGAGGTTAAGCTACCAGGGCGCGGTCATACCATTGATACGTGGCCGTGTAGTGGTATATCATTTGAGCATCTCCTTGGTACGGAGGGCGCGTAAAAATTCGGTTTCAGTTGTTATTATCTTCATAGCAGTTGTGAGATAATGTCAGAACCTAATATATATGGAGTGATCTGAAAAATTCTGACACAGATTGGCCACTGACCACTCGATAAGGCAGATGATTAAATAGTTCTACGGGTATTATAACAGAACTTTTCGAATTTAATAGTGTCTGTCATAGTTAATACCTATGAGATTAACTGTAAGTACATAAAGTTTCAGACAATAATATTATTCAAGATGGATAACCGTGCAAGAAGAATGGTGAATAGTTGTACAATAGTACCCCCATTTAACCCTCACGATACTCCAGAAGTTAGGAAACGATGTAATGATGGTAAGTACTGTAAATTAACATTTATACTTTGATTAGTTGTGCTCTTGGTTTTACCTGCTTATTTCCATATGCTAAGGGAATTTCTGAATATTTATTACGAATTATATAAAATTATATCGAATGTTTACCTCCTCACTGTACTTATACCTAATATCTCAGTGGGATGAGTCCTTTGCCTAGAACGAGGTCATTACTATATTTTTTTAAACATTAATATCATTGTTACAGATATATTCATATCGAAAAATAAATTAATTAAAATAAATAATACACCAGAACACAATTTACCTGACTTAGACATGGGTGGATCAAGCTTTCCTACACCTATTCCATCAACTTCTGTTGACAAAACACCCGATTCACCAACTTCCGTTGACCAAACTGCGGTTCCATCTCCTATTTCACCAAATGAGGTTGCCAAAACTCATTCACCAACTTGTAATATACCGCCAATGAATGAAAATGAAGAAGATTTTTCTCCAGACGACAGTGGAGATGAATACCGCCCTGAAAAAGCTAAACGCCCAATAATGAAAATAAGACAGAGATCGTCATCGAGTTCTTCTTCCTCATCATCGAGTTCTTCTTCCTCGTCATCGAGCTCTTGTTCCTCATCAAGTTCTACATCTTCTGGGAACACCTCACGGCACAGTGATTCAATTTTGTCGCAGAATCAACCTTTTATTCCAAATGAAGAAAACCATTCCAGTGCTGTAAATAATAATCATTTTCAGGATTCACCAGCAGAAATTTCAGTTACCAATAATATTCAAAACGATGAACCTAATGACATGGATCTAAGCCGAGCATCACCTCCTATGAAACCAAAAAAAAGGCAAAGAAACCCATTGTCTTGGAAGAAAAATAAACGTGCTCAGTTAAAGAATTCAGGCCAGGAATATATTTCTAGGACGGGCAAGACCATTTCGGCAAAAGAGATGAAGCCTCCTTGTTCCAACAAATGCAGATACAAATGTTCGGAACATATTGCAGAGGGCCAAAGATATGAGATTTTCAAAATGTATTGGGATTTGTCTTCGCTTCAAAGACAACGTGATTTTTTGAATTCTGCAATAACTGTACTTCAGTTAGCACAAAGGCGTCTAAAAACTAATGTAGAAAAAAACAAAAGACCGAATACTTCCTATTCTTTAATATCTAGCGGTAGGAGTGTTAGAGTATGCAAATTATTTTTGTTGAATACCTTGGGTATTTCAGAACGTACTTTACGTACAGTCGTTGAAGCTAAGACCAATATTGATTCCAACGGAGTAGCACCAATTGACAAACGTGGTCGTCATGAAAATCATAAAAAAACCTGTTCTGAGGTACAAGAGTCTGTTCGAATTCATATTAATTCAATAAGTAGAATTGAGAGTCACTATCTCCGTGCCAATACTAATAGAGAATTTATTGATGGTGGCTTAAGTATTGCTGATCTACATCGTGACTATAAAAGAATAAGGGAATTAGAAAACAAAGAGGCTGCAACTTACGATTCATACTTTCGCACATTTAATACCGAGTTTAATATTTCTTTTTTTACTCCAAAAAAAGACCAATGTGATGTCTGTGAACAATATAAAAATGCTGTTGGAGAGGATAAAGAGAAACTAGAATCTAACTATACAGAACATTGCCGGCAGAAACTACTTAGTCGAATGGAAAAGAAGACTGACATAGAATTAAGTAGAAATAGGGACAGTAATGAGATAGTCGCAATTTATGATCTTCAAGCAGTTATGCCGGTGCCAGTTGGCGAGTCGTCATCTTTTTATTATAAGTCTAAATTGAACTGTTTCAACTTGACAGTATGTATCTGCTATTATTCGAAATATTATTTCGTGCCTCACAACGAGTTTTATAACATTCTTGTTTTATAGGTGACAGATATAAAAGAAGACCAAACTTATTGTTACTTTTGGCATGAAGCTATGGGAAGTAGAGGAGCAACGGAAATCGGTTCCTGTATTTTGAAATACCTACAACAACTAGCTGTTAATCATCCTGGCAGTAACTTAACATTTTATACTGACAATTGTGGTGGTCAACAAAAGAACAGGTTTGTATTATATTTATTATCGTATATTTTTCAGTGGTAAATGTGTCGTGTCTTAATTATAATAATTATATTTATTTATTTTTTCAGATTTATATTTTCTTTGTATTTGTATGCCGTCAAAACTCTTGCCGTCAATAAAATTACACATAAATTTTTAATTAGAGGTCATACACAAAATGAAGGCGATACTGCTCACTCTATAATTGAAAAGGCTATAAAGAAAGCTAAAAAATCTGGTGCTATTTACGTGCCAGATCAGTATGTCCAAATAATAAGGTCTGCAAAGAAAAAAGGTAACCAATTTATTGTTGAAGAACTAAATTTCGATGATTTTTATGACGTCAAAAAATTAACGGACGAGATTGAACTTAACACTTTCAAAGATGTGGAAGGGAATACGATAAAAACTTCGGATATAAGGGCAATAGAATTCAGAAAAGATAATGATGCAGTATACAGGTATAAACTTAAGTATGACGATAACTGGATTGAAGCTGAAATTAAAAAAAAGAGCCAAAGATCTACAAGCCAAAGAATAACTAGAGACATACGTGATATAATTGTGACGCCGGTATATAATTCAAGAAGAGATATTCCTGTCAAAAAGAAAAATGATTTAAAAGAGCTCTTACAGAAAAACATTATTCCTCGGTATTACTCCACCTTTTACGATAGTATTTTTTAATATATTTTACTCCTTTATTATTATAATTTCATATTATTCGTTAATAGTAGATTATAAGATAAAAGTAGATAAGCAATTAAGCTGTGATTTTAGTGCCATTACGTCCTACACATTGTGATTTTAATGACTAAGAATTTCGTTGTTTTAAGGTGTTAGCTGTTTTAAATATTTCAATAAGTACCTGGTAGAATAGAAATTACCTACCTACCTTTTGAAATGATTTTAAACATACATAAATAAATATTGACGTTGATTTATTAATCTATTTAGTTTTATTTTGTCACAAATGTAAAATCCCATAGCGCATGCAATATTTCTTAAATTGAATTCTGAAGAAACAGTGACGTATTTACATACAAGTCATTTTATTTATGCCTGTAATTTAGGTAATACATAATGCAAGGAAACCATTGGGGCTCTAATAGAATCAACACAAATGAAATTTACTTTTAAAATGATTCAGATTATAATGAGTCTCCCCAAAATGCCATACATCGAATACAAATCTTTAATCCTTTCTTTTCTCTCTCTCCTTAAAAATTGTTAAAGTGTAATTACGCCATTGTTGCACCAAATGAGCGATATAATAATATATAATCTCGTCTACTGAAATGGCAGCATTGACATATTTCACAATGTGATACGAAGCAAATCTATGACTGTCTATTTGGCGTGGTTCCAAACTCAGTGTCGTAAATGCTAGGTAGCTAGGATTCTTGAATAAAATGCAACTAGATGAAAAAAGACTTAAAGGCTCCAAGTATAATTTAGTCATGCACTTTAACTATTGTTTATCAATTGTTAAATAACTTCTGGATGAATCCATAGATATACACGTTAACCATATGGCATAACAAGGGCTAATTAGTAGTTAAAAATAGTTATAAAAGTTCTTAGTTGAAGGTACTATGTGAAGGCACGCGTCAATTCAAATGTTAACTCGTCGAGTACCGGTTTTATAGACACAATTAAAGAACAATAGATCGCGGTCACCGGTGACCGCTTGGTGTTTGACAGTTTAATTGAGGATGCTCGTCGGCGAAGATGACATGTTTAAACATACTATAAAAACTAATATCTTGTAGAAAAGTATAAAATGATATAACTTAGAATTTGTTATACCCAAGAGCGCAGGACTTTATAAGCCTGTAAGAGCCTGTTTAATAAGTATCCGCGTTTAATGGCGGCCACTGTCAAAAGTTTTAAGTAGCGTTAATTCTTTTGAGATGTTAGATTAATGCGTCGCCTAATTAAATATTTAAAAGAAAGATATTAGACACAGACTGGGGAGACAGTTTTTCTTTGAATAGAAATGTCCTAATTTATTTTGGAATAGACTGGAACTTTATTTTGGAATAGACGAGTGTGGGGGACACTCGTTTATTAAAATACCTTGATGTTAGAGTGTGAGTTTCTTTTGTGTGTTTAAAAGTTTAAAATTGGCACATTATAAAGTTTAACTCGTCGAGTACCGGTTTTATAGACACAATTAAAGAACAATAGGTCGCGGTCACCGGTGACCGCTTGGTGTTTGACAGATTAAGTCATATAACAATAAGTATTTTAACTGTTTGGGATTATTTGGTAGTTACTAATTACATAGGTACATACTTACACAATTAGTCTCGCATCTCGCAATAACAATATTTCGAATGTAATAAAATACTAGACTAGTAAAATGTATTTCCATTAAAGATGATATAGAATACTTCCACATGTATGTAGTTTTATTTTCGTAGCGTTTTAAGTGTGGTAGAGCCATGCTTCGGCACGAATGGGCCGGCTCGACCGGAGTGATACCATGGCCTCATAGAAAACGGACGTGAAACAACGCTTGCGTTGTGTGAGTGAGGTTACCGGAGGCCTAATTACCCTAGTTTCCCGAATCCTCGAATCCTCCACAATCCTCAAATTCCCAATTCTCAAAAGGTCGGTAACGCACTTGAAACGCCTTGGTGTTTCGGGTGTCCATGAGCGGCGCTGATTGCTTACCATCAGGTGATCCGTCTGCTCGTTTACCGGCTTATGCTATAAAAAATGTATCATTTAGTTTCCATCCAAATTAGTATAATAACAGGTGAAACTTTCACAAGTAGAAATGCTTTTCGGGATGTTATGATATGTTTTTTATTTATTTTAATTGATTAATCTAAAATCTTAAGACAATAATAGAATAAAGGAGTGTAATATTTGAAACAAAACTTTGGTCACCATTCCTTCAAATATATTAATGTGAAACGCATTCCCAACTCGGTATAACAAACAAAGCGTCCTAAGTGGGTGCTTAATTAAGAAATGCTGAAGTGTTTTGATGGTGGCACATTAATTTTATCTTGTTTTTCTGCTTTCGCGACCAATTATCTTGGGAAGTCTTCGTTGGGAGTTTTAATTTTATTCGCTTGCCCCAATTATATTTCGCTCTGCTATCAACATTTATAACTATGTATTCAAGATCTAGTTAAGAACTCGAACTGATGATTTGTGTAGTTTGTTTAAATCTTAATGTCTTTTTTGTTTTCAATTGTTATTAAGTTAAATTCGTAACTTTTTATGCTAGGTTTTACACCAAACTTGATTGGTTTAAAATATACATTCAGTCAAAAATGTATTGAATGGTTGTTTTTTTCACAGGTTTGAATTGATTTTTTATTTTTCACAACGGTTTTCTATTTTAACGCGGAGTTTAAGTTGCATCTGTTGACTAGATGAGATAGATATAGTATGTATATACATAGTATATTCACTAAAATAATATCTAATGTAGTATGTGTATTAATTCCACATTCTGTTGATATCTATAAAAGTGTTTAGCTGCAAGTATAACTTCACTTTAAAATAATAGAAAATCCGATGTGATGCTAAAGAGTCCGTAGTAACAGATTTACATTCTCGTAGACATTCTCGATAATAACTCACAATGTGTACAGATTAGTAGTAGGAACTCATCGCTTATTTTGTGGTCGGCCTCCTTGCTTTGTTCCCCAATGCGTCTAATTTCCCTTTGTTCTAAGTTACGTTAGTAAAAAAAAACCTTTGCGGAAGAAATGTTCTTAATACTTGACGTTCTAAGTGTTAATTAAGTGACGAAGGAATATAAAAAACAGCCAGATGTTTTTATTTTCACGTTAACGGTAATTTATCTGAAGAAATTATAATTTGTTTTGATCCATTTTTTATTAGATAGGTATTCAGATGACTTGTGTAGTAAAAAATAATCAACACCTACATTGAAGTTTTTTATAGAAAGAGTGTATATTTTTAATTTTTTCTCTCCCTCTCAGTCTTCTATAAAATTCATAGAAAGTTTTCATTTTCAATAAGTAGACTATAGTTGAAAAGTACACAATTGTAATAGATAAATACATGCTCCTGAATGCTTAGTACGTAGGACTCATAACTGATGAAAAATGGGAGATACAAATTACGAATCATTATGAGAAATTGCATAATTTGATTATTTTGTACACATTCTTTACATAAAAAAATCTTCCTATTATGCTACAATTATATACAGATATTCAAGGCTTTTCGTATTTTTATTTTATAATAACACTCTATTATTTTGTGGGTTTGTTTGTTGTATGTAATTGCTTTGCCTACCTCCACCATCCATACATACTACCCCTAGCAATTCTTTTCATCTGTCATGCCTAATGACGTCATGGTCATTGTAAAATATGAGAACCTTGTCTTGTCAGCTATTACGTCGTATTATGCCATGCAAATATTGGTGTCAAGAACACAGAGTATTGGGTTTTTCTGTCTTTTGTAATGACCATCAACTTGCCATAATCTTGTTCACCTAGTCCACAGGTATATGGAGATTATGACGCATTGGGCTCTTGTTTTATTCACGATTAGGGATGACCTATCGGTTTTTACGTTGAAAAAATCATTAAAGGTACTGCTAATGCATACGCAGAGTTAGAAGCTTGTTTACAGCTAGGCGGGAATAAATATGGGAAAATATTTAAGGGTTACTTTATAAATAGGAGACATTGGAAACATTTATAGTTATTGTAGTGATGTTCTTTCGTGCTATCCTATTTGTTACTACATAATATTACATTGACTGATGACACAGTAATAAAATATTGATAATTATTAGGTACACTTAATACTATGTATTAAGCTAAGCATTTACTTCATAACTCTAAGAAAATTATGTTCTAAGACTTGAGCTTCCAATACACTACATTATGTTAGGAAACATAATATACGCCCGGGAGAGCAGCATTAAAATATCGCGTTTCCTTCTACTATGATCGTCAAGGTTGATGCGAATGACCTCGTTAAGTTTTCTTATAGGTACCTAATATATTGAAATACGTTTATTTCTTTTATATAAACCTTATTCTTGACATAGTTCAACAGTAATCTATTCTAATAATAGGCAATTATTATAGTACGCTGCAAGCTGGGGTTTTATTATGTCGATTTTACAATGAGATCCCTTGTCCAAAACTTATCTTTTTTAAGTTATTGATTTTTTTAATAAATACCGGTTTTATGTTCTTATAGGAATTATTCACTATCTAATCTGAGGCTCCTTTTTATATCTTTTTTGTAAATATTTGTTTAACAGATGTCTTAATATATTTTATGTACCTAATTATTACACAGTAGGTATGTATATACCTAATTAACCGAACAAGATGTCTTGTAAGTAAAAATTTGAGTTTTATGAATTAGAAACCAATTTGTACGCTTTTATAAGAATGTCCTTGTCATTGTACGTGGACTATACCTGTATACACTTTTTTGAGAATTTGTTAGAGCAAAATGAAACGTGCAGATACTTCGAGTCACGTAACGTATTTGATTTCGTCTAATGACAAAGATTTGTTATACATCACAGTATATCTACGTGTTTGATAAAAAATGTCGGAAGTGAATAATTTTGTACTTTTTGTTGAATCGGAATTATATAATAATTGGTCCTTATTATATACTTTATGTCGCGGAGAACCTAACGGGTTACCGGGGCCCCGGCTCGACGTGCAGGAGAAGGAACGGGTTGGTTTTTAGTCAGTAAGAGTTTGACACTCCCTCCCGCCTCACCCAGGCGGAAGCAGTCATTCGATGATTTTCTCCCCTTAAAAACAATAAATATATACTCTATTTATATAGTCTCCTTGTTTTAATAAATTATTAAGTATGTACTCTATTAAGTGTCTACTGGTGCTGTATTATTTTTGTAGGACCAACTAATTGTTCGAGTGGATGTATTTCCTGTTCTCCATCATGAGATAATAGTACACCGTTGAGTTTGCCACAACGTCTGCCAGTGATGTTTATTGTCTAAATAAACTTAGAAAATGCATGTAGCTTGGAAAAAGTCACACTGGTACTTGCAAGGTTTTTGAATCCGCATCCTCGTACCTACTCGGAAGCAAGGGCCTTAACTTGATTTTGAAATAAAGATAACATAAACCTAACTTTTGTGTTTAAAAGTACCTCTACATGAAATAAGTACATCACTAGCACTTACTCAGAGGATCATTTGATTATACTTATTATGTGATGTTTAATGCCGTTGAATAAACGAAACACTTTCGTATTGCATTTTTAGACGACTTTGAAACGGTGTTCAGTAGTTCTAAGTTAGCTATACCATACAGCATTTTCATTACACCTTATATTGCTTTATACGTTTACAATTACATTTTATGTAGCTCTGAATAATGTATCTATGCTTGTGCATATAAAACCACCAATTCCATATGTCATACGTACATATTGTACGGTAGGTAGGAGTAATCTATAACGGCTTAGTGATGTCGGAAGTTTTAAAAGTTGATAAAGGATAATACGAAGATTGCCGTCTTTAATTAGTTATGACAAAAAATCGAACAACTAAAATTAATTGTAACAAACATTAGGGTTTTTTTTTAATTTTTTCCATTCGCTGATTCTTGTTGACTTCTGGGCCTTTAAGACGTATATAGTCAGGTCGTTTACAAAGATTACAAGAAAAAATACTTAAACATTTTAGTGCCACTCCTTCATAATCTACATCGATACCACTCAATACCAAACGGCATCTACACAACTTTAAACTGTTTATACATATATCTAAAGTTCGTCACTGCATGACATCATATCTTATCAAACGATATTTTGGATGACTGCGGTGGTAATCAAGATCTAATGATAAATTAATTAATTTTCATAGTCAATGTTATTGAAATCAACGTTGCATTCAAGGACAGCTTATCATGATTGTTTTTTGTATGTAATTTTCATTGACTTCAATTAGTGAAACAATATACAAAAACTTAGTTTTGTAGTATTTCATACACTATCTCAAGAGGTTAATGACATGACTGGTCAAAAGAGGTTGTAGGTACGGACTCTGTATAATGCACATTGAATGTATCTATTTATAAAAAGGCGTGATGTTTCATATCGTGTGTGGCTTTAATACCCGAAACAAATTAATACTGCGCCTTGTTTTAGCTTACAAACTCAATTATCTTTTATTTATTTACTTCTACCAGCGATTTCGCCCATGGCCTCGTGGGATAAAAAGTAGCTTATGTGTTACCCGAGCATAATCTACGCGAAGGACACTCCGGGCGTCGGGGATCGCGGGATGATCTCCGGCCACCCGCGCTTACGGTGGCCTGCGGACGGCGAGCATGGTTGGTTCACCGCCCGACCAGAACCAGACCCGAGCGTAAGGCGCGTCGCGTTCCGCGCGCGCCTCATGGTGCCATCTGGTGCTATCAGACCACCGCAGATGGGGCCCAATAGAGCTGATGCCGATTCGGAGTCGCGGAGAACCTAACGGGTTACCGGGGCTCAGAAGGTGGAAGGAACGGGGTGGTTTTTATTCAGTAAGAGTCCTGCCTCACCCAGGCGGGAGCAGTCATTCGATGATTTTCCCCCTTAAAAAACCCAGTACATAACAAACACAACAAAAAGTAGTGAAATCGGTCCTGCCGCACATGTGTAATGGTATGACCAAAAGATATAGGGATTCATTTTAAATACATATAGATACGTTTTTCGTTATAACAATAGGAATGATGATTACTGACTTGTCATAAATTTAATTTTTTTTTCAAAGGTCGAAAATGATACTGTGACGTCTTAATTTATAACGCCAAGGTTAAAATGAAATCAATCAATCAATAAGACTAAGCCATCATCCCTATTCCCTATTCACTTCAGTCCTGAAACTTTTGACTTTGTAACTATTCATAAATAAAGAGGAAGTCACCAGCCTCTTTATAAGTAATTATTTTTTTTTTAATAATATTCAAGGAATTTATAAGGCGTGGGTTTTTCTAAATATTTTGTATTTTGCTCATTGATTCCAGGTTACACTGACCATGAGTACCTGACAGATAAAAAATTGCGTTAATGTTTTATAAAAAATTCTCGTATCGCACTACATTTGTACCATTACAAAAATACGAAAATGTTCAACATTTTCAACTTCTAAGGGGTAAAGTAATAAAACATGATATGTATAAAACTTATGTGATTATATTTATAAAAATATCACTTTATACTTTACAAAAATATAACATTCGAGTATATTCTAGTCATTATTTCTAATGACATTACAAATAATAGACTATATACTATTCTTTGTGTTTATAAGATAGGTAATAATTAATTAATAAGTAATTTAATGTATAACGTAGTCGAAAACTGATCACCTTTCCTATAAATGATTAAATAAATTAACATAATCATAAGCTAGATACAATTTATACCACTCTAGTAGTATTTGTGATTAGATTAATCTTCTACAATAAATTATTGTATTATTTAATGTTATCTAAGTATTATCATATCTAATACCTATTTACTTTTTGAGATCGTTTACTAATGCCCGTCCATTCTCTGTTGGGTTCTAAAAATTAAGAAGTTGGTTGTCTCAAAAAGCAATACAAAGTGGTATTGGTACAATTTGACAACTAAAATATTGGTAAATATTATTATAGTCTATAATAAATACGGTATATATGTACAATACAATATGAATAAAGCCTTTCCTAATAATATATAATAAAGTCGGTCAGCCGACTGGTAATAGTGATGATAATATACTTCCACAGTTAGTATTAAAACATAGATATTAGTCGCATCGTAAGTTGATCATAGTCGCGTTGCTTATGAAACCCATAACATGTATTATATGTATCACATAATGTTGGATAATATAATAATTTGGACGTCAAGCTTCCGGCTCTTGACACGTCTTACGACAAAACTCCACAATTTCAATTGGTTACGATGCGATGGTATCTGGATTTGGCGTTTTAATATACCTAGCTTGTGACTTCAGATCATGTTTAGAATAGTTGGTAATTTTTAGTTTAAAAAAAACATAAGCAAATTTTGTATATTATTGTTCTGTTTTATGGTATTGCTGTATCATTTTCATTACTTGCATATGGATTAATATTTATATCTAGATATACACTTCTTACCCTCGGTACTTTTAAAGTACTGGGGATGTCTTCAATTTTATTAATTATTGCATCTTGAGACTTTCTTTTCCTTTTTCCAAGTCTATAAAATAATAAACATATTAAGGCAAAGATAATTAGATAGAGAACAACTATCATTGTGATTATAAGTGGACTCCAAAAACTATTTTTGTTTTGTGTATTGTCAGGGTCAGGAAGAGGTGATGTCAGACAAGGATCCGGTGAATCGGTTCCGTTCGTGGGATCATGTACACCACTTGTCGTGGTTATTGTAGTTGGGGTCGTCATTGTAGTTGGTGTCGTTATTGTAGTTGGGGTAGTTGTTGTAGTTGGGGTAGTTGTTGTAGTTGGGGTTGTTGTTGTAGTTGAGGTCGTTGTTGTAGTTGGGGTCGTTGTTGTCGTTGTCGTTGGGGTCGTTGTTGTAGTTGTGGTCGTTGTTGTCGTTGTCGTTGGGGTCGTTGTTGTAGTTGTGGTCGTTGAAGTGGTTGTTGTTGTTGTTGTAATTTCTTCATAGATTTGACATAACTCTGGATTCTTATTCGGTGGTATGTATCGAAAAGAATCAATTAAAATGATAGAATCGGTCGATGCCATTGCCAAGATAGATACCTGGAACAAGCAGAATTGGGTTAAAGATGAGAAATATAAATTTATTCGTACAAATTGGAAATTTGAAAATTTAGTACAGAGATAGATTGTTGTTTAGAATAACTAATCTTTATTCCGGGAATGCAGGTAAAGCCACTGGCAGAAGCTAGTCTGTTACTATTTAGTGCGGACACGTAAATGAGGTGTGGAGGAAGTGATGTTAACAATACAGTCAAAACAGATATAATATTTCAAATGATATTGACTTAGATTATTTTCAAGATCGAAGAGTTGATGGAATATTTCGAATATTTTCCATATATTATTTTTTAGAGTACTGATCGTCTATATTAAAATCTTAGTTACATTAACTAATATATAATTATTATAAAACTCGGATAAAGGAGTTTGTGTCCTCATGTTTGACAATTGATAACCTTTCAGTGCTCTAAGCCACACCACCATATGCTCTATCTATACATATAATTTATTATATTTTAGGTCTTTCTTCAAAGTTAAGGTGATTATCACGTCAGTGGCGTAATAGAACGCAAAAAGATTAACAAACATATTTTTTTAAAATCGAAATTTGGTAGGAATGAATTTATTACTAACATGAATTTACACTGTACTATTTTATTACAAATATCTTTAGCATAGGTAACTATAAATATTATACCGTGGTCTACTAGGTTTGTAATTTTGGGATGATATTATGTTTGTTGTTTATGTCACTTAAACGAAAACTATAAGAATATACAGTACTCACATAGCCTTCATATGTGTTTGCGCCGTTCAACGGTCCTATCGTCACAGTACGCCATCCTTTCGCAGGGTTTGGATTGACCATACCTACTGGAACACCATGGGTTGCACTTTCAAAGACCATAATTTGGACCATATGATTGATTTCTGTTTCCGTATATATCTCAAATTCAATCGCACCACCATTGTTCATTGTAAAAAAGAAGGTCGTCGTACAACTTATTACGTCACCTAGTGTCGGTGTTATAAATTTGGTACTGAGTTTGTTTGGTGGGGGTAAATCCAAATTACTATACTCGCCGATCATCCATGGTAGCGTTGGCATACCACTGCATATTGCGCCATAATCACTAAACCAATCATTAAAGTTTTTTTCGAAATTGTATGTCACACAAGAATCATCACTGACTACGAACGACACAAAGATTAGTAAAATTAATATTTTGAGAATCATCTCGGTACACGAAATGTACAACTATGAACAATTGATGCTAAATATTCAGGTATTATTTCATATTTAAATCCAATACATATCTAAATAATTGGTAATGGATACGGATAAGATATCATATTAATAAATGATAACTTCTGAGTAACATAAACGTTTATCATCGCATTCCTTTATATCGACCTTATGTCAGCATTTCTTAGAAGTGACTAGACTACATGCACATACATATCTACTATTTAGGCATAAATTACAAATATTAATATGAGATCGGTTTTTGTTTAGCCAATAATAATATTCCTTTGAGTTTAATACAAGTATAGTAAGTCCATACGTAGTTGTTATCTTAATACAACGTGTGATAGATAGATACCGGATGACAAACCTAAAACGTTAGTTTACTTTTATTACTTAAGACCATAAAGTTTAAAGCATTTAAACTTTAAAAAATAATGCTTTTGATAATGTGGTTTCTGTTTGGCTTGTATCTGTAATATACTTATCACAACAATACTATAAATCGATGCAATTGGTCATAATAGGCTTAATTATCTTCTGATAAAAATAAGACGAGAATTTCTTTTACGATACTTATTGACAGATTTAAAATACCTATTTAGTTTTGTAAACTTGGTTAATTGATTCTTTGATGTCGTTTATGATAACGATTAAACGTTTAAATTGAAATTTAACTTTTTTGCTTTCGTCAAAATTGATATTGATACATATTATGAAAATCGTTAATTATGTTAAATAACCCAATTTAAGATGCCTAATTTTTATTTTAATGTCCGCATTATTTAAAAAAATTAGACACGTATTTTTAATTTTCTTACAGAAACGAATACTTTCGACGATATATTGATTTGAAATGTCGCGTTACGTCACTTCTATGTACATTTTAAACGTAGAAATGACGTTTTAGCCCCCACTTCTAAACTTTGATTCGTTTTATCTAATTACTAGCTTCTTCCCGCGACTTCGTACGCGTAATCCCATTTTTTCCCGTCCCCGTTCGTGATTTTCGGTAAGAAGTAAAAAAAAAATTTGGTTAAAAAGTATTCTATGTCGGTCTCCTGGCTCTAAGCTTGCCGTTCTTGAGTTATAAATGGTGTAACTAACACGACTTTCTTTTATATATATAGATAGATTTTGTTATACGAGAAAATAAAAAAAATACGTGTCTAATATTTTTTCATTACCTAACTTATGGACTAATTATATTTTTAATTTCCATACCATATCATCATCCCAATTGCTTTAATCCCTAAATGTTACAAAAACGAAACTAGTCACTGTTTTATAACAAACTAGCTTCTGCCCGCGACTTCTTGCAGGCAATCCCGATTTATCCCGTTCCCGTAGGATTTTCAGGAAGTCCTTGGATAAAAAGTGTCTTATATCTGACTCTTGGTTCTATGCTACCTCCCCATCAATTTTCAACCACATTGATTTAGCCGTTCTAGACTTACAAATACTGTAAGGAACACGACTTTCATTAATAGGTATACATATTTAGATAGAAAATAAGTAGTAATTTTTTAAGCTTTTACCTTCTCCATATGGACTCGCTCGTAAATTCAACTTAAGATATAGCTCATATCCACAATAATCCACCGGAAAGGGCAAATTGCTTGTTCTTTTTAGTGTGGACCTAAATCTGATCCATCTGTAATTCATAAATTTCTCGCATGATCTTGATTGAAAACAAGAATTTATTAAGGTAAAAATGAACTACTTCTTGCGTATGGATTTGTATTGACGTCAGGGAATACATGTTTTACACGTGGTACTTTAAAAGTGCTTGAAATGTCTTCATAATCTAAACTTGCACTTATTTTGGCAACTGCTGCAGCTTTAGCTCTTCTTCGTCCAATTTCATAAAATAGCAGACATATAAGGACAAGGATTATGAGTGATAGTAGAACAACCATTGTAATAGTAAGTGGTGTCCAAAAACTGTTGGTATTCGCAAGATCACAATCATTTGCTGTTGTTGTTGGCAGTGAAGTTGTGGTTGGCTCAGAATTCGTTGTTGATTCTGCAGTAGAGGTTGGTGCTGGAGTGGTAGTTGGTTCTGGAGAAGTTGTTGGCTCCAGGGTTGTTGTGGGTTCCGGTGTTGTTGTTGGTTCCGGAGTAGTTGTAGGTTCCGGAGTAGTAGTTGACTCTGGAGTTGTGGGTTCAGGAGTGGTGGTTGGTTCTGGAGTTGTTGGCTCTGAAGTTGTTGTAGATTCTGGAGTAGTTGTGGGTTCTGGAGTAGTTGTTGGCTCTGAAGTTGTTGTAGATTCTGGAGTAGTTGTGGGTTCTGGAGTTGTTGTTGGCTCTGGAGTTGTTGTAGATTCTGGAGTTGTTGTGGGTTCCGGTGTTGTTGTTGGTTCTGGAGTAGTAGTTGGCTCTGGAGTTGTTGTAGGTTCCGGCGTAGTAGTAGGTTCCGGAGTAGTTGTAGGTTCAGGAGTAGTTGTAGGTTCCGGAGTAGTTGTAGGTTCCGGAGTAGTTGTAGGTTCCGGAGTAGTGGTAGGTTCCGGAGTTGTTGTAGGTTCCGGCGTAGTAGTAGGTTCCGGCGTAGTAGTAGGTTCCGGAGTAGTTGTAGGTTCCGGAGTAGTGGTAGGTTCCGGAGTAGTTGTAGGTTCCGGAGTAGTAGTTGGCTCTGGAGTTGTTGTAGGTTCAGGAGTAGTTGTAGGTTCCGGAGTAGTTGTAGGTTCCGGAGTAGTTGTAGGTTCCGGAGTAGTTGTAGGTTCCGGAGTAGTTGTAGGTTCCGGAGTAGTAGTTGGCTCTGGAGTTGTTGTAGGTTCAGGAGTAGTTGTAGGTTCCGGAGTAGTTGTAGGTTCCGGAGTAGTGGTAGGTTCCGGAGTAGTAGTTGGCTCTGGAGTTGTTGTAGGTTCAGGAGTAGTTGTAGGTTCCGGAGTAGTTGTAGGTTCCGGAGTAGTTGTAGGTTCCGGAGTAGTTGTAGGTTCCGGAGTAGTTGTAGGTTCCGGAGTAGTTGTAGGTTCCGGAGTAGTTGTAGGTTCCGGAGTAGTAGTTGGCTCTGGAGTTGTTATAGGTTCAGGAGTAGTTGTAGGTTCAGGAGTAGTTGTAGGTTCAGGAGTAGTTGTAGGTTCAGGAGTAGTTGTAGGTTCCGGAGTAGTTGTAGGTTCCGGAGTAGTTGTTGGTTCAGGAGTAGTTGTAGGTTCAGGAGTTGTTGTAGGTTCCGCAATAGTAGTTGGCTCCGGAGTTGTTGTGGGTTCAGGAGTAGTGGTTGGTTCAGGAGTGGTGGTTGGTTCCGGAGTAGTTGTAGGTTCCGGAGTAGTTGTAGGTTCAGGAGTAGTTGTAGGTTCAGGAGTAGTTGTAGGTTCTGGAGTAGTAGTTGGCTCTGGAGTTGTTGTGGGTTCAGGAGTGGTGGTTGGTTCTGGAGTTGTTGTGGGTTCCGGAGTAGTTGGTGGTTCTGGAGTTGTTGTAGGTTCAGGAGTCGTTGTAGGTTCTGGAGTTGTTGTTGGCTCCGGCGTAGTTGTAGGTTCCGGCGTAGTAGTTGGCTCCGGAGTTGTTGTGGGCTCAGGAGTGGTAGTTGGTTCCGCAGTTGTTGTTGGCTCCGGAGTTGTTGTGGGTTCAGGCGTTGTTGTGGGTTCCGGTGTTGTTGTTGGTTCTGGAGTCGTAGTTGGCTCTGGAGTAGTTGTGGGTTCTGGAGTAGTTGTTGGCTCTGGAGTTGTTGTGGGTTCCGGCGTAGTAGTAGGTTCCGGAGTAGTTGTAGGTTCCGGAGTAGTAGTTGGCTCTGGAGTTGTTGTGGGCTCAGGTGTTGTTGTTGGTTCTGGAGTTGTTGTAGGTTCAGGAGTAGTTGTAGGTTCAGCAGTGGTTGTAGGTTCCGGAGTAGTAGTAGGTTCCGGAGTAGTTGTAGGTTCAGGAGTTGTTGTAGGTTCCGGAGTAGTTGTTGGTTCCGGAGTAGTAGTAGGTTCCGGAGTAGTTGTAGGTTCAGGAGTAGTTGTAGGTTCCGGAGTAGTAGTTGGCTCTGGAGTTGTTGTTGGCTCCGGAGTTGTTGTGGGCTCAGGAGTGGTAGTTGGTTCCGCAGTTGTTGTTGGCTCCGGAGTTGTTGTGGGTTCAGGCGTTGTTGTGGGTTCCGGTGTTGTTGTTGGTTCTGGAGTCGTAGTTGGCTCTGGAGTAGTTGTGGGTTCTGGAGTAGTTGTTGGCTCTGGAGTTGTTGTGAGTTCCGGCGTAGTAGTAGGTTCCGGAGTAGTTGTAGGTTCCGGAGTAGTTGTAGGTTCAGGAGTAGTTGTAGGTTCAGGAGTAGTTGTAGGTTCAGGAGTAGTTGTAGGTTCAGGAGTAGTTGTAGGTTCAGGAGTAGTTGTAGGTTCAGGAGTAGTGGTAGGTTCCGGAGTAGTTGTAGGTTCCGGAGTAGTTGTAGGTTCAGGAGTAGTTGTAGGTTCAGGAGTAGTTGTAGGTTCCGGAGTAGTAGTTGGCTCTGGAGTTGTTGTTGGCTCCGGAGTTGTTGTGGGTTCCGGTGTTGTTGTTGGTTCTGGAGTAGTTGTAGGTTCGGGGGTGGTTGTTGGCTCTGGAGTAGTCGTGGGCTCCGGTGTAGTTGTTGGCTCTGGATCATCTCCATAGAAGGGGCATGAACTGTTACTCATATTAGGGGGTAAATATCGGAATGAATCAACTAAAACAATTGAATCAGCAGATGCCATGCCCATAATGGATACCTGAAACAAAGTATAATTACAAATTGTTAATTATCATTATCATCATCATCATCATCATCATCATCATCGAATACGAACATTCTCTTATACTCGAGGTTGCGCATACATGAGAATGGGTTCGCAATCAGGCAAGTACTAATGTCACTTTTTCCGAGTATTTAAAGTGTTTTAAATGTTTAATTTTGTAGAAATTTTGCTTCTGATTTTAATACTGTTTTAATCACAAAATCATGGTGTGGAAAAACGATGTGGAAAATATTGCTTGTTATACAAAATAAATATATACGATTTTTTACCAATCTAGAGAATATAGAAAACTACAAACCATTCTTTGCAAAACATTATATTCTTATATTAAGTGACTATACATTGTGGGAGTAAGCTTTGTTAGATGAAGTCCAATTATTTATTATGTCCATTCAATAAAGATATTCATCCTCAACATTGCTATAGGTAAAAGACAGCAAAACGAAAAAAAAGCTGAACCAGCTCCAAATGGTCTGTTTCATTCAGGACCTTTAGCCATTTATTCAAAGTTTTCAAATTCAATTTAAAACTCGCATACGTAAATAAATTCACAAACACCACACTTTCCTTACAAACGGTTTTTATTAGAAGCTAAACTTTATTTTTACAAAAAAATTACTTGAAGCGGCGGGCGCGCAGTGCGATCTTTGTGTGCTACAGACGGTGTTATAAGGTACTAAACTTACGGCTGTCGCACGCTATTTTTGACGATTTAAGTGTTTCATAGGCTAATAAAAATTCTTCCTGGGTACTTGAAACTATTTGTGTCGGATTTCTATCGTGTTAAAAAAAGTAACTGCTATGTTACTTATATCTAGGCTATAAACAATATATACAATATATTGTTATATTTTTCAAAATTAATCACACACTCAATTATTTATCTATCTCTATTTAATTCAGTGATTTAATGCATGTAAAATTTAGAAATCAATCAAAGTATTGTTATAATTACATGTGTACCAAGTATTTGATGAATAAATATAATTATATTTCATGGGAGTTTTCGTAACATATAATAATGGACAATGATGGACATACAATCATCTAAGATTGCTTTTATTGACGAAAGGATAAAATGTCATTAAGGAATATTTGCGTGTGTACTGAATATCACTAACCATACAAAATAATAGAAAAAAATAGTCATTGATAGAACACGAACAATAGTAAAAAAATATTGTTAGTTTACATACATTAAGTTATATCTAACAATATTTTTTTATGTATAATATTGTTTTGTTTCAGTTTTTTACGGAATGTACGTGAAGTAAAACAAAAAAGTATAATTTAAGTTAACTTTATTTTGATATAAATTTATCATTTGGCACCTAGAAATTGACTACCTTAGTAGGTATAGTGGTATTCGAGACACACACAAACACTAAGTACTTGCTGCACCACAATGCTTTATCAATGTCTAAGTAACGTTTGGCGGCCCAGAACTGTCGCTCTTATTTCATTTATTGTAAGACATTATTTTACTTACGTATCCTTCATAAGAATTTGGGCCAACTAGGGGTATAATTAAAATGTCCCATCCATTCACAAGATTAGCAAAATTCATTCCTGTTACAAATGATGAACCATCAGGCAGCTCTTGGTTCGCCAATATTTGTATCTGATCATTAACATCTGTTCGTTCCATATAAATGTTGAATTCAATTCTACCACCTGCGTTCATTGTAAATAAGTGCGATGATGCACAACTCATTGTTGTATGAGGTGTGATGAATTTGGTACTCTGCTCAACTGGACTAGTCAAACCCAAAGTACTATACTCGCCGATAATCCATAAGGGCATGATGTTACACACTCCGTAATTACTAAAAAAATCATTAAAACCTTCTTCGAAATCGTACTTCACACATGAATCACCGACTACGCACGACACGAAAGTAAGTGTAACTAGTTTCAGAATCATTTCGTTTTCACGGCATGCTTCGTTTGTGACTACTACAGATATAAAATCTAAATCGTATTCTAATTTTATTTGAAGAAGATATTGTAGTTTTGTAATCTAATCGTATCTTAATTATTTGTAATGGATAGATAAGATAAAATCTCTAACGGTGTAGTAAACCAAAATTGTCAGAATCTAATTGCTTGTCCACCTGTCTACATATTTCTTGTTTGTTGAAAATTATTTAACAATTTTAAATCCAACTTCAATCCGGTCCCGTATTTGTGAATAAGTTAATTTTCTGTTATTTTTCTACTCAATTTACTATTCTAGTATTTTACAGCTTAATTTTATTTTAGATATGCGTATCTATATGTACGTATAGATACGCTTACGTCGTCACGTACGTCATTTTTCAAAGTGCATCTTTATAACCTCACACGGTTATTTGGCGTAACTTATAACAATAAAGAATAAATAATAATAAAAAAAATAAGCTCTAAGTGTAGGAAGTGTGTGCTAGAATCATTTCGTAAGAACTTAAGTGTTGGGACATTTTGTGAGTGTTAAGAATATACTTTTCGAACAAATTCAAAAATGTACCGCGTCGGTTATGTGGAACGTAAGTTTAGTGTAGAGATTACGAGACGTATGCAAACATGCATCACTTAGGTATGATAACCTGGTTAAACGCACAGACTGTACAAAAAGACGGAACACGTAGTAGCTACTGCCCACAAGTGTAGAGTGTGCAATCTTAGTGATATTCCCGACCGCGTGACTTGGCTTGTATAAAAGGTAACTATCAAATTACCTGGTTTGTTTGTAATTTGGTATGAAAGGAGGTGAATATGTGAAAACACCAAAATAAAGCACACTACCATATATATAAATTCTGTCAAATATTACGCCAAACTCCCATAACTCCCTAAAATGTAGTACAAAATAATCTTTATACCTACACCATGAAATCTATCGAGAAGTAGTTTTGTAAAGAAAAATAAAAAATAAAGATGTCATATTATTTACGGTGATGCCACCGTGGTGAACCATTGCGAAAAGCACGGAGGGTTCCATAAAAGACACAATGTTATATTGTGTCAATAAAAGGAGATTCATTTTTTATGAATCATAATACCCGCGCACTCTACACAGTGTTTCTAACTACGCCTTGTGTAAATTATTGAGATCTCATCAATACGTCATGTGTAAAGATAATGATCAGATTTACTGTATATTAGCGGTTTCACCTGCACTGTTCGGCTTATTGATCGAAGCGTGATGTTTTATAGCCTATAGCCTCCGTCGATAAATGTACTATCCAACATAAAAATAATTATGTAAAGTGGACTAGTAGTTTCCGAGATTAGCGCGTACAAACAAAAAAAAACTCTTCAGTTTTATGCACGGTGTTTCGCGCATGTACCGACACAATTTTTTCAGGGATTTGGGAGTTCATTAGCTACCTTTTACCCGAAAACCAATCGTTCCAAACGTCACGGTTGACAACAGATGATTTTTTAATGAATTTAAAAAATCCCAATATGTTTCCTTTAACTCGAAATAACTTATTGTTTCTGTGTTTAGTGGTACAAAATATATTTTGTTATATACTCTAAATATAACAAAATATAAGTCTATTAAATCTAAATACATTTTTGTTTGATACAAATGGTTCCAAAATTTGTCTTACTAGCTCCATAGTTTAATTTTTCATTCGCACGTCTGAAATATTTGCACTTCCGGCGTTTGACTCCAAGTTGGAGAGAACGGGGGCGGCGCTTAAGCGCCTCCTACCCAACCTCGGGAGCCAAACGCCTCCTGCCGGAGGTTATACGCCGGGGTCGTGCGGTGCATGGCCCTCTACGGCGCCGAGATGCGGCGGCCCGCTCGGGTGCTGCTCACGTGACAGAGGGTCATGGCGATTCGAATAATCCGCGGATGCCGCACGATCTCCGGGGAGGCAGCGAACCTCTATGCCGGATTACCACCGTGCTCGCGCGCGTATTTTCTCTGCGCGTGATGGCCCGTCGTCGGGGCGAAACTCCGGGAAGAGTTCCGGCGCGATCTCATGGCGGAATGGCAACAACGACTGTCGCAACCGATTGTTGGGCTCGCTGCCATTGCAGCGGTAAGTCCCCGAGGAGTGGCTTGAAAGACGCTACGGTGTCCTCACCTACCGCCTGACGCAGATCCTCACCGGATATGGAAGTTTCGGGAGGTACCTGTGTCTGATGGGGCGGGAGTGAACACCCGGGTGTCATCACTACGAGAAGCACCCTGAGGACACGGTGGAACACACAGTAGGGGAATGCCCTGCGTGGGCTAAGCACCGCCGTGCCTTCAGGGACGTGATCGGCGATTGCGACCTCTCGCGTCCGACCCTAGTGCGGGTCATGATGCGGAGCGAGGGAGACTGTGATGCCGTCTCCTCCTTTTGTAAAGCAATAATGCTAGCTAAGGAGGAGGCGGGACGCATGAGGCAGCAAAGCGCTGCCTCCTCACAACCCAGCCCTCGCGAAGGACACTCCGGGCGTCAAGGATCGCGGGGCGATCTCCGGCCACTGTAAGCGCGGGCCTGCGGACGGCAAGCATGGTTGGCTCGCCGCCTGACCAGAACCAGACCCGAACGTACGGCGGAGTAGGAACGGGGTGGTTGTTAGTCTGTAAGAGTTTGACACTCCCTTACGCCTTACCTAGGCGGGAGAAGTCATTCGATGATTTTCCCCACTTCAAAAACAAAAGCCTGAAATATTTCAACTTCTAAATCTATATATATAAAAGAAAGTCGTGTTAGTTACACCACTTATAACTCAAGAACGGCAGAATAGATTTGGCTGAAAATTGGCAGGGAGGTAGCTTAGAGCCAGGAGACCGACATAGGATACTTTTTAACCAATACTTTATTTTTTCTTTTTACCGAAAACCACGAACGGGGACGGGAAAAAATGGGATTACGCGTACGAAGTCGCGGGCAGAAGCTAGTACGTTATAAAAAAAATGAAAGCCAATTTGCTTTACATTTATTTTAGAAAGTTCTTTAGTTACTACCCTTTTTAAG